ATGTGAGAGACAACAGGAGATGCACTTTTTCACTGGAGGAAGCGTTATTATGAATTATGGACTCATATTTTAGCCAGAAGCAATGGTTTGAAGTTAAAACGTCTTGATGGATTTGTTTCTTACTGGAGTGTGTGGATTATTGTGATGTTTTTATCAGCTGTTTGGACTCTCATTCTGACGGCACCCATTCACTGCAGAGGATCATTTTCAGATGATCGTGTTTTTCTAATCTAAGTTTCTTTCTGGCACAGACTTGGGCAGACGACATTCTGGCTATAGCATATAACACACTGAGATCAAACGCCTGCAGACAGGTCTTCCTGGAGAAAGTGTGAGGATCTGTGCTAGTCATGACATGACAAATATTGATTTATATTCCCGATAGACTTCTGATAATTATTTCATTGATGTTTTTCTTGTTTCTGTCTTCTTTATAGGTATGTCCGACTTTCATTGCAGACCAACAAAGATGGAAAAATTCCTGTTAAAAAGTAAGAAAAACATTGATAATAATCAGAAATGTTTCTTGAGCAGCAAATCAGCATATTAGAATGATTTCTGAAGATCATGTGACACTGAAGACTGGAGTATTGATGCTGAAAATTCAGATTTGATCACAGCAATCAATTATATTTTACATAACATTCACATAGAAAACCGTTCTTCTGAACACTAATAAAATTTCATATTATTGTTGTTTTTGTCTGTATCAAATAAATCATAAAAATCTTACCGACCCCAAACTTTTGAACAGTACAGCATTTGGGATGCAAGTTTCTCTTAAGAAAATGTGCTAATAGGTTTATTGATGCACATTAAAGTGATACTTGTCATATCAGGCTAATATTTTATGTGAGATCTTCTCATAATGATCTTAATCTTTCATCTCAGCATCTTAAAGATGTTTCCAGCAGACAAGAAAAGAGTGGAAGCTGCTCTGGCTGCAGCAAATCTCCCGAAGGGAAAGGTGTGTGTGTGTGTGTGTGTGTGTGTGTGTGTGTGTGTGTGTGTGAGTGTGTGTGTGAGTGTGTGTGTGTGAGTGTGAGTGTGAGTGTGAGTGTGAGTGTGTGTGTGTGTGTGTGTGTGTGTGTGTGTGTGTGTGTGTGTGAGTGTGAGTGTGTGTGTGTGTGTGTGTGAGTGTGTGTGTGAGTGTGCGTGTGTGTGTGTGTGTGTGTGTGTGTGTGTGTGTGTGTATGCAGTATTTAACCATCAGTTGTCTTGTGTTGTTAGTTTGACACCATTAAGTCTGATGTGTTCACTGAAGCAGCCTTCAAGACCTTCATACTCAATCTCTGTCCCAGACCTGAAATCAATGAAATCTTCACGTCCTTGTGAGTGAACGCACTCCATATGTTAATTTGACACACGCATGAGTTTGTTAATGATCATGAATCAGTGTTTGACTGTGACCTCCATAGCACCAAGGGAAAGGGTTTCATGACGAAGGAGATGCTGACCAAGTTTCTGAACGAGAAACAGCGAGATTCCCGTCTCAATGAGGAGCTGTTTCCACTCGTCAGACCCGAACAGGTGAAGAATCTCATAGAGAAATACGAGCCGAGCTCGTCCAACGCCAGCCGCGGTGAGTTCAGTTTAATCATTGATTTTTTTACAATCTAAACATGCAAGATGAATTCATCTGAGACGCAGTGTTATTTTAGTATTATTGATTTAATTAACATTTTGAATGAGCTTTTTATATTTTCAGTTTTATTTATTTTAATTTTATGTGCTTTTTTCGGGTTTTTTATTTCTATTGCATTAACTTTAATTTTGTAATTTTTAACTTTAAACTTCAACATAAATGTTTTTTTTTTTTCAGGTTCCAGTTTTTGTATTTTTATGTTTTTAATGTATCTTTCATTAACTTTATTATTCTTACATTCATAGTATTCTTACATTTATGGATTTATGATCCACTGGCAACAGTTTTATTAAAATAAAATAAAATAAAATAAAATAAAATAAAACAAAACTAAACTAAACTCAAAACAGTGTTTCCAAACCTGGTTGAACAAGAGGCTGTGTGACTGTATATTTGTGAAGATTAATTCAAGTCTGTTGCTGCTGCAGGTCAGATTTCTCCGGATGGTTTGATGTTTTATCTGATGGGATCTGAAACATCAGTGGTGAAACTGGACAAACTGGCCCAGAGTCACGATATGACTCAACCAATCCCACATTACTTCGTCAAATCCTCCCACAACACCTATCTCACAGGTGAGGAAAAAACCAAAACACTGAGGACTTTACAGATATTTACTTGAAAGTTATTGCTTTTATTGTTTTTAACTTTAAATGTGAAATTTCACAATACTCGATACCCATTTACGATAACAGCAATAACTAATACCTAAATAATATAAAGTTCAAACATTAAAGTATACAGTTAATAATAAAATGAGAACAAATAAACTTATTACAAGCACTAACACAAATAAATACAATAAACAAAGATAGCCTAAATTAACAGTACTTTACAATGCTTGTGAAAACTGTATTACAGTACGAAGTAAATATACACAGATACCTATTAAAGCTACATAAGTTATTTAGTTAAGACCAGAGAGAGATTCTTCCTTTTCTTTTGTTGTTTGATTAACTTTATTAACATAGGAAACAGAAGGAGGCTGCATATTGACACATTTTCTTAACTGTTTACGTTCATTTAACCGACTGTGTTTACGTGGATATTCGTCAAGACGTGCATTTTCACTCAATTTTGTCTGTATTTGCTCAAAAAGACGCGAAAAAGACCTCGACTCGGTACGTGAGCACACAGAGTTGAGCCCACTTTCGCGCCGTCTCGCACTTGAATGGCTTAAAATCAGTATAAAATCAGCTTAATGTTTAAACTGAAGACTTAAAAACAGTGTTGGGGGTAACGCATTACAAGTACCGCGAGTTATGTAATCAGATTACTTTTTTAAAGTAACTAGTAAAGTAATGCATTGCTTTTTCATTTAGAAGGAAATATCTGAGTTACTTTTTCAAATAAGTAACGCCAGTTGCTTGTTTTCTGGTGTATTGAGTGACAGCTCTGGTGTTGCCATGGTGACAGAAATCAGGAGTAAGTGCAGAGCGTTGTGTGTGAACATGATCTTTCAGCGTTCCTCAAAATGAATAAAAACAGTCAAATGCAAACTCAGAGTATTATACAAACCTGCGATAATTAAATATGTTAAATAAGACAAATATCATTTATGTATTTAATCCCATTTTATTAACCAATGTCTTTGGTACTGATCCAATTCAACCACACTAATAAGCAAAAACGACATTTTCATTTTTGTTATTGCTGAATAGTCTAATAATTCTCCTGCGTCATATTCTTCATGCGATTTGTTTGAGCGGCGCCCTCTACTGTACAGACCTGAATTTACATTTCCTTCAGCCTGAGGCTCATTCATTTCACTTTTGATGTGAAAGGGCTTTTACATTTGTAAAATAGCTACTTTTTATATAAAAAAAACAAACATGCAAGCCCTGCCCAGATTTAAAAAGTAACTCAAAAGTAACATAACGCATTACTTTCCATAAAAAGTAACTAAGTGACGTAATTAGTTACATTTTTAGGGAGTAACACAATATTGTAATGCATTTAAAAACATTTCATGCATAAAAACACTTGAAAATGATAGACTTTTCTGATGAAGCAGCACTGGAACAACAGTTCAGATTATAGCTTTAGGGGGCTAAGAGGGTCTAACTACACTGCAGGTCAAAAGTTTGGGATCAGTAAGATTTTTTATGTTTTTAATGGAGTCTCTTATGCTCAACGAGGCTGTATTTATTTGATCAAAAAATACAGGAAAAAATTTTAATATTATGAAATATTATTGCATTGGTTTCCCATTTTTATATACTTATAATTATATAATTTAAAAAATATATATAGTTTATTTCTGTGATCAAAGCTGTATTTTCAGCATAATTACGCCAGTCTTCAGTGTCACATGATCTTCAGAAATCATTCTAATATGCTGATTTATTATCAGTGTTGAAACTGTTGTGCTACTTAATTTTTTTGGAACCTGTGATACTTTTTTCTTAAAAAGAACAGCATTTATTCAAAATGGAAATCTTTTCTAACACTTTTAAAAGTCTTTACTATCACTTATGGCCCATTTAACACATCCTTCCTGAATAAAAGTATTAATTTCTTTAAAAAAAAAAGAAAGAAAAAAAATTACTGACCAAAAAACTTTTGAGTAGTAGTGTATATTGTAACACAAAATTTATATTTTGAATAAACACTGTTCTTTTTAACTTTTTATTTATCAAAGAATCCTGAAAAAGTATCACAGGTCCCAAAAAAACTATTAAGCAGCACAACAGTTTCAGCACTGATAATAAATCAGAATATTAGAATGATTTCTGAAGATCATGTGACACTGAAGACTGGAATAATGATGCTGAAAATACAGCTTTGCTTCA